CTCTCACTGGCCTAGAACTCACCAAGGGGCTCAGTCTCCACCTAGGCAATGCTGGGATTACAAATATGTGCCACAACACCCAGTTTTTGTTTGTTTGTTTCTTATGGGTTTTGCATGCAAATTCAGTGCCTCGTGTTTGCAAGGCAAGCACTTTACCAACTGAGCTATCTCCCTAGACCAATATAAGGAACATGTTCTGAATTTACCCTGTATTCACAAGGGTCCTGTTTGTCTTTGGATTGCAAGTACTTGCGTTCACTCATAGGCCTCCGGTGCTTTCTCTCCAAATTCTCTCCTTATCCCAAGGAGACTATATTGCTTTTCCTACTTTTTTTGCCTCTTTTCTATCTTGTTTCCTTCTGCTCTTAATGGTAGGATATACCAAAATATTTGTACTTCTGAGAAACTGTGCACCCTACCCTGTGGCTTCAGTTTGTTGTAATAGTTTGAGCAAAGTGGGAGTAAAGCAGAGAAAACAAAAGTAGACATGTTGGGGACAAGAAAACCTGACAAAATATGCTGATGGATTACACATGAATGAAAGGGAAGAGAGTCATGGGAAACTTATTTCTTGCCTGAGAGAGTGGTAAACTTCAGGGATCACTCACTGATATGGAAAGGATTGAACCCTGCTCAGGCCTGATGCAAAGAAGAAGGCATGTGTTCCATGACCTCTTGATGATGATGCTTTTGATATTGCCAACAAAATTGGGCCATCTAATCTGAGTCTAACTGAACAATTCTAAATACCCATTATTTTTTACCAAAAAAGAAAGGACTGATGTGGAAATGAGCTTAGAAAATTATTACACTATTGCTTTATTTATTCTTGCTTACATTAAAGTGTACTGAAAAGATAAAACTCAAAACATCCAATGCACATTAGTTTCATGTGTAAAATTCCACCCCACCCCATCATCCTTAATGCCTGTTTCCCTGGGACAGAATGTAAAGCACATGTACTCCGTTTCCAGCATGGGGACTTTGCAGGTGAAACATTTTCCATTTCCATTTTCTTTTGTTTTGTTTTTTAAACTGGGAAGAAAGAATGGTAGTCTGACAGTGACTACCCTGAATCTTCCCGAGAGGCTAAGACAAATTCTCCTTTCTGTGAAGTAGTTGGTTTCGACTGGATGAAAATTCACAGTTCACTGCTTCTTAAAAGCCAGTGTCCCTTGGGGAAGGCAAATATGACTATCTTCCATTGTTTCTAAGGTAGAGGAAATTTTATCATTGATCAGATCATGGTGGGGCAATTTGAACGGGGAAAAGAAAATTTTAAATGACTTGCCTGGCTTCGCTCTCTCTTGGCCGAAATGGTAGTGACATTTTCATTAAGCAGGTTAAGGAGAAGCAATGGTGGTTAATTAACTTAGAGGTGTTGCAGCTGAAATGGCCCAAACTGCCGTAGGCCCCAGGTAAGTCTAATACTGTTAGCTGTACCCAGCCTTCCACTTTACACTGTATCACCTATGAATGTCTGTAAACAAATTAGGATTGCTTTTTCATGTAGCGCTGTGTAGCTCACAGGGATATATGAAAATGTATTAGACAATGTCTGTAAAGCACTTTAAATGATTTATTCTTTAGCCAGTTTTTCCTAAGGGATAGTTTGTCTCACACACTTCTAATTGCCATCTAAATGATAAAGAGCAATCTTCAACTAAACACTTAGTGGGTTGTGAGAGATGACTCATAGATCTTTTTTACTCTGTGTACCCAGCACATAGACTTACACATTTCTCATCATGAAGTTCTGCCTTTCTGACGACTGTATTCTCTTGTGACATTTAGATATCATTTTCAGTTTGCAGGAGTGGCAGGTATAACTTTGTGGTCGTTAGGGAAGAACTTTTACTATGGGGGTAGAATAATGTAGTGAAAGGAGTATAGGCTTTGGAAAGAACAGTTGGGATCTCACACCTGGCACTAACATTTACTAGCTAAATAAGCTGGTAAGTCACTTTACCTGTTGAACTTCAACTCTCTTGGCTTGTAAAATGAAGATAATAATGCCTGTCACTCAAGGTTGTTTTTATGACTAAATGAGTAATGTATAGTTCTTGGCATTTAAATGAAGCCTAATAAAAAATTGTTTCCTCCTTCAAACTTCATTGTCACTGGTGAGCTCAGAAGCAATTGTTCTTAAATTTCCCTCTGTCTATACACGTAAACATGTATATCATAGGGACTGAATATTATTTACAGAAAGTAGCCAAGTTGAATACAGATACATTCACTTAGATAATCCTTGGATGAGCCTATTTAAAAACACAACAAAACAGTATGATATTAAAGTTCTTACCTTTTACCCATTCACTTTAAAAACTCTTCTTAGTTTTAAATACTTTAGCTTAACCTCCTGTTTTGATCATAGTATCCTCTGGAGATTATCCCTTTTGTGAGAGAGGGAGAGAGGGAGGGAGGGAGGGAGGGAGGGAGAGAGAGAAGAGAGAGAGAAGAGACAGTCCTGGAGTATGAACCCAGGGCTTTGCACATGCCAAAGTCTCTACCACACAGAACTGCATTTCACTTTCTTGAAGAATTACACAGTCCCACCCCCCCCATATGTATTTTGGCCTGGTTGTTTACATATTTCAGCAAGAGTTACCATCTAATCAGATATGATCCCTGAGCAGTCAGTATTGATCAACTATAAAGGCCAATTAAATTTTGCCAGGTAATTTCATTAAAGAGCAGTGCATTTAGTAATTTAAATGTCTATTATTTTTCCTTCTATCCCAAGCTTAAGAAAACAAGTTCAGTAAAATCTATCAACCAAGATTTTGCCTTCATTACTTTTAGATTCTGGCAAATTCCTTGTTACTTGAAGTCTCGAAACATGCTGATGTACCAGGCTGGCCACCAAGCAGTTGCTTCTCACTGTGAGAATTTACCTGTGAAACAGATCTGTTTTCTCAGGTGACATTGGCCTATAATGAAGAGCTCTCCAAATCTGATTAAATGTCATTTATTCTCAAATATGACTCAAGGTATAATCTTTAATGACAGTGAAATTATTTATTGGGGTACAATATATGATTAAATTTTTTTCCATTACATTTTAATTGTGGATGTTGGGGTGTGTGTGGAAGATGTTTGTGTGACACAGTACATTTGAGGAAGGCTCACAGGACATGTGGGAATCAAGTCTCTCCTTCCCCCATATGGGTCTATGTGATAAAACTCAGGTCATCAGTTTGATACTTAAGTGCCTTTATTCATTGAGCCATCCTACCAGCCCCTGTAATTTTGGGTTTTTTTAATAAGAATTTTAGGGGGCTGGAAAAATGGTTCAGTGCTTAAGAGCATTTGCTGCTCTTCCAGAGGACTCAGGTTCCTGGCACCCTCATAAAGTAACTCCAGCTCCAGAGGATCCAACACCCTCTTCTGGCCTCTGTGGGTACTTGCACACATGTGGAATACATGCACGCAGACACACACAAATGAAAATCTTAACAAAAAAATATAATTTTAGGCTTGGCAAGAAAATAGTTTCTTATTGATGGTATACAAGTAACTTTATTTCAATAAAAGAGATGGAGACTCACTAAAGATACTTGGTTCTAAATTCCTTAAAGGAGCATTGAAAATTTGAAGCTATTTTAAAAATGTTTTGTTTGATGTTGAGAGTTAGAAATAAATTACAAAGTGAAACGAAGGGTTTCTTCACACATCAGAAAGCACTCTTAACAAATGTCAGCAGTGCTATAAACCAAACAATTATAATTAAAATTTCTCACCAGTTCATTGAGTTCATCTACTTGTTTCTTATTCTGTGCTGTCTTGGATTGTCTGACTGTTTTCATGACATCACCTGTTTCTGTACTAACACACTTCTGGAACTCTTTCCTTAGTCT